ATGTGAAGTTTTCCTCAAGAATTAACACAGGTTTTTTTTGTGAAGAAAATTTACTTAAGTTACTGCAATACACTCACATATTTTTTTCCAAATTATCAATATAATACTCAGCACAATCCTTCCTAAAAGTCTTCACTCTAATTCTTAATAAGCAAGTAAATATGGGAACATATCTATAAATAAACAGCATACAGAATGAAGGGTACAGATGAAGATACTAGGCTTTAAATTTAAAGGTTTTATACTTCAAGTCACAAATGTGCCTATACAACGCCACACTATGCATGGTTTTGCATCATTTTATACTTCACTAGGCACAAGTCATGCCATAAACATCTAGGATCCCAAATAAACCATCAATAAGCTCTTGAATTTGGCAAGAAGAAATTTACATAGCCTTATAAAGTACCATAACTTGACAATCTGGTTTCTAATTTATTATTAAAGGTTAAAATCAAGAAAAAAGAAGAGCTGAAAGAAACCATGACACCAATGCCAAACAATATGGTAGCAGCAAAACCCAGGAGGGGTTTTAAATAAAGAACTAGCTTGTATGAAAGGCTATAAAAGAAAGGCTATACTCTTCCTTTAAATTAAGTGCTAAGAGATCAGTAACAACAGTTATGCTATGTAATAACATGCATTTAAAAAATTGAAAAAAAGATTGAAAGATGTTAGCAAATTATGCAAGGTGATGGTAAATATCTTAAAGGAAGAAAAAAACCCCACTGTGATAAAAGTAAAAATGTGACAAACTGTGGATTATTCTCTTTCCTCTAGCGAAGAAAATAGTTTAATGTACACAATGAAAGAAAATAAAAGCAATCAAAACTGCTATCTGAAGCATCCCTTTTAGCATTCATTTTCAACTCTAGTTCCTTCTGAAAACAGAAAGATTCCAGGATACAGTGATTATCAGTAGCTCTACCTTGCAGCATAAAAGACACCTACTTTTGTTACTTTTGATTACTATTGTTTTGCAGAAGTACATATACACAGCTTAGTTTAAGAAAATAATATTGGGGGGGGGGGGGGGGGGAAGGGAGGAGGAAACTCACTTCTCATCTATCAAAAGCCATCACAGATTCATAGGAAGATTACCAAAATATTTGACTCTTATCAATCATTTAACTTAAAAGCATGCAATCCTTTTATCTAACGTACAAATTTCAGAATCCACCATAATAGTTTTAAAAACAATCTTCCTAGTCTCAATTAACCGGTGATGCTAAAGACACATATTCTTTACTGTATGGTTGACTATTGAATTTTCTGCTTCACAACTAATGATTTCATCCAAAGGAGAAGAATTTTAACTTCTTTTTTTTAAGGAAAATTCCATTATGCACAAACTACTTCATTTAAATCTAAGACTACAAAGCCTCTAAGAACTGCACACTTAAAGTAAAGAGGGTCAGAAAAGAAATTAGCAAATCTGTTGATGAGGCCTGTCAATAATTATGAGTTGAAATTAAGTTTTCTACCCACTAAAGATTTGTCCTCAGATCAAACAACAGATTCATATTTTTATTCGCAAGTTGAATTTTTAATTACTCCTTAACACTTTCTAGGAGAGTAGTGTTGCATGCCAAGAAAACACAGTCACAACTATAAACCCACAATTCTTGTCCTTTCTGTCTCGTGTGTATTTGGTTTCTTCTCTGCTTCCTTGGCAATGTTTCTTGTCAGTTTCTCACTCTAAGAAACTCTCTCATGCAGTGCTCTGTGCTTCGTGGGCCCACCTCCACTTCATTTTTTGAAAAAAAATTAGCAATAAGCTAGCCCTTGCAAGGATCATACTTTAAAAGAAAACTTCTGTATTAATACACTAGTTGCACAAATGAGGGGAAAGTCATAATCTCAGCCTGTTGGCAGATGCAGGAGATAGCACAGCATCAACAAACCCCTATTTTTGTTTACATATCCACCATATCCAGAAAACATGCATCTTTTGTTGAAATCTACACTTCATCTTTTCACTACACATGGACAAGGACAAGTTCTTCTCCTTGCTCATTCCTTCATCTAAATATTACATCAGTCAGTCACACAACATGAACTTTTCCCTTCAGTTTTACTTCACAGTAATATATCCTCTAACAATCTTCATCTCTTCTACCTCTCAATGGAACACACAAGTTAGCTGGTAAAAAAATTATTTTTCCCTGATTAAACTATGCTGTGAAGTGATTTAACAGTAAAACATGCAACTAGCTACACAAGAAACATGATTTTGAGAAGTAAACCTATAAAGCAAATACAACTCCTGAATTTTATCAATAATTAAATCCATGCACCCTATTAATACTCTGTGCTTCATAAAATAGTAGTTATAAAACAAATGATCACCTTTGGAAAGTCTACAGTTTTAAATTTGAGCATTTGGTTGAAATTTGAATGACTTAACACTTTTCAGTCTAGGACAGTTCAAATCTAGTCTTTGAATTACATGCTTTGAGAACCTTGGATCCTGCTGAGACACTGCTTTTTGTGTGTGTATGTGTTCTGAGTTGTTCTCCTTATATTTAAAGATACACACTGAAACAGCAACCAGTCCCATGATAAATAGCTCATCTGAGAGAGTGTAACATCCTTCACAACATGCTAGGCTACATTTGTTACACACACGCACTAAAAATACCAATTTTGTACACAAAATAGCTGAATCCTGTATGTCCAAAATAAAATTCATAAAATAAAAACAAAATCCTAGTGAACTATAATGTTGTTACTTCAGGATTCTACACCAAACAGCATTTATTGTCCAACCCTCAGCCCTACAGAGAGCAACCACTATACACCAAAAACAAACTACATAGAGCAGATGCTACAGGGGACCAGTATAGACATGGTGACCTTTTCCTATACATAGAAGTCCCATTATTGTACATACATATATATATACACACACATGCAATTGAAACTTACGTGATAGCAAGACAAAAATTACCATGAGCAAAATGATTTCCCTATAGACAGTATGTTACGGAGCACTGCAGGAAAGATTCAGCAATGAAGAGTTATTTACAAGTTATTTTCACACTTTTAAAGCACTCAGTTTTACTCCCATACATTTGTTTAGAAAATTGTTGTACATTTATAAGCAGGGTTTACACAGCAGAAGAAAATTATATAGAAAGAGACTCTTCTATGGCAGAATTTCAAACTAATGACAATTAAGACAACTCAGTTGCTCTACCAGGTTTTATTACACAGAAAAAAAGTTTCTAGCACTGACAGAAATCAAATTAAAAACAAGCGTATCACCCGCTTTTGAGTTCAAGAAGTTTCCTCCACAGAAACTAAGACTTGCACTACAGTTTCCACTATATTCAAGGTCATACATTGTGCACTAAATAACTACACATTAATTACTTCAACACTGATTGTGTTTTGGGAAAGGACAGATAACTGAAATGAAGGGGAAGGACCAGATGTGGAGCTAGAGTAGTTTTCCTGGTAACACAAGACCAGAACAAACAGCTTGTCTGTATACATAGAGCAAGAAAGACAAATTAGAGACTAGAAAATAGAAACAGATGAACTGACAAATCAAAAGAGTAAGAAAATTAATTCAGTATCACGTGTAATAAAATGAGGAAGTGAACCAGCAAAAAACCTAAAGAAAAAAAATAGAGGAAGAAACCTAATTAAGGTGAGTACAATAAGAAAGACAAAGAAAGCCTAAAAACAGCAAGAGGGATTACACACAATTTATTAATTCAACTACATCACCTCTTAATGATACAAGTCAATAAAATACTTGAATGCTATATTCTTTTCATTTTCAGTGGTCTTTGGGATCACTGCACCATCAAACATTTCATTCTGACTCCCAAACAGTATTTGTGTTTAGCCTAGAAAACACTATGGTTAAAAGGCTGAAGACATAGAGAACCATAGCATCAGTTAGGTTCAAAAAGATCTTTAAGACAGGGGAGTCTGTATCTCAAAAGTGTTGAAGCATGATTTACACATTCAAATGCAGCCCTTGAAGTATGTTATCACTCTGAACATGTGCAAAAATGTGCCCTGAATTCTTGCTTTAAAAATATTTTTTATCTTTTCCAAAGTAGTGCAGTCTAGGAATCACCTAGTAAGATGGATCAAAAACTGGAGCAATACTCTAAAATTTTGTCACATCCTTCTCATGTGCCACTTCAGTTGTAGCTACCATGCAACCTACAAACAAGGATAAGGTTACCACTCCCTGCTTTTGCCATCCGGTCTGGTCCTACCCAAAGCAGATGAAATGGTCAAGATTTGATTTCTGCCTATATGTGAACTGGTTTTGGATCATTCTTATTCCCGTGACTAATGCAACCACCTCTCAAGAAAATAGTAACATCTCATTTAAATGGTAAAATCCTAACAGAGAGCACAGAACCCACTATACACCTCTGCAGCTCTCTCAAGTATGCACACTTTTACAGAGTGCACATACGCAAACATAATTTTGATTCCTTTGCTTCTACTACTCACTGTGCAGAAAGAATAATTTATCTTCTCCTTGACTTTAAATGCCCTTGTAATAGACCATGTCTTTTAATGAATAATAATGGCAACAAGTTAAATAACTAGTAGTTCAGTGTGATTAAGGAAGTTAATTGCAAAGATAGTGGTTGGTTTATTGAATCATATGAGCATCCATTCCATTGGCTTTCACCAGAAATTCAGGGTGTGGCTTCCTGATCAGTTTAAGCTGTTCTATGGCTAAAGTGAGCAAAGGAAGTCATGTCATTCCTCACCCTTGTGTTTCCACAGCTCTCACAGCAGTGACTATCAACTGCAAGGCAGCGTGGTACCAGAATAATTCATTTCACCATGCAGTTCACATATGGCAGTTGCCACACTATGAGGGAGGTGCAGAAATGCACTGTTGAGGATGGTGCTGCTCTTGTGGCAGCAGACCTGAGTTTCAACAACTTCAGCCAAGAGAAAAACAGCAAAAGCAGGGAAGAATGGTATCAACAGGAGTAGACAAAATACTTTTCACTTACCCACTCTGTAAAGAGTGCCAAAAAGGCTGCCTCTAACTCCAATGTAAAACTCACGTCCACAGACCTGAAGAAATAGGCACAATTTTCACATGCTGAAACGAGAAAAGGAAAAAAAGTCTCTTAAATTTAGTCATTAATTCAAAATATGCAGCAGCAAATGAAGCTGTTAAGTACAAAATATATACAATGGTCAAAAGCAGGAAAACCAAAAGCAGAAGTGCAGTTACATGCAATAGTTAATGAGTGCAAAAGAATTAAGAACTGCAACTTAAAACAGCTGCAGGTGTAATTTCATGATATAACTAACTCTCATCCTCATGTTTTGATACATGAGGACACATGAATATTCTCTAAAAGAAAGCTGACACACACTTTTGTAATGCTTTTTCTCTTTTTGAGCTTGATTTTATAAGCTCCCACAGATAAGCATTATACCTTTGATAGCTCAGCTACTTCAGGTGGCATAAAAGAAGTAGGATGGCTTTTGCGATAGTGCTGGAAACAAAAAGTTTTATTAAAAGGCTCTTCACAGAGAAAAGCCGAGTCAAGGCAAGAAGCTCTTGCTCCTGTTAAACCACTTTACAAAAGTGATTTACTTCTTTTTCTCTTCTTTTTCTAGGGAATTGCTCAGGCAGGACTTTTTGGCTCCTGTCAAATTAGCTATCCTTAAGTTTGAGGTGAGGTCTCCAAGGTCCTATGAGGTGTCTTTTAACCAAACTGAGGAGAGAAACTTCTGGGCTTTTTTTCTTTTTAAGGGGACAAAGGTAACTTGTTTACTCCCTCAACAGAAAACACATTCCCACACTTGTGCTTATCACTTAACACAGGATTAGTTCAGCAGAAAACCTGATAAATACTCCCTCGTAGAACCCAAATCAACTGCTTATCTCCTCAGACAGGGTACACAAAGCAGATTAATTGTCTTGACTACAGACTAAATCAAATGAACAGCAATTTGACAACTGCTAGGGAAACTAGGAGATTTATATTTTGCTATTTTCATGTTTCTGATTGTGATAGATTATTTCCATTTCTGATTATATCAGACAGTAGTAGTAAACAAGATTTAAGAGTGAACAGCAAGCTCAGAAGGAGAGATAACTTCATTCATACTAGGCCATACTACATGTTTTCCACAAGCACATAACTCAAAGTGGGTTAAAAACAGGTATTTATGAAGCAACTATAGGAAAAAAACTAAGTAATTCTATGTAAAATATAATTTTTTTACAAAGGCTTCTAAGCCAGAAATCTATGGATAATAAGAAGGAAGTGGTTGACAACTCTTTAAAAGCTTGAGCATCATCTTCCAGAACTCCAAAGTCTTGTTACCTGAAGATTTAATCTGGTAACAGAATGACTGAATTTTATTTGAAAATAAAATACTGCTGCTGTGTTCCTGAGTTCCCCTCTTACTAACCCACAGGAGGCCACTAACCTCAACCATAAACACCCACAGGTCTAGGTACATATCTGGTTTGCTTTTCACAGCCAACAAAAAAATTACAGTTCACGCCACTCTGGCTTCTTTGAATTTTTTAAGTTTAACTTGAGTCACATATTCCTGCTAACATAATAAGCTTTAATAAAGAACCAATTTCTTTGCCATAAGACTGAATGTCTCACAGCACTCTACAGAAATTTTCTAATTCTAATAAAAATTATTTATCTGTGTTTACATTTTCATATTCTCGCCCTTATTAAATATAAGATTTTCATCTCAATTAGCCTCAGCATTCCACAGAAAGAAACTGATGTCCCTATTTCATTTCTCTATTAAAGCAGCATGGAAGTGTAGTTTTTCTTCTTTTACTTTTTTTTTTTTTTTTTTTTTTTTTATTAAGTGCCCTTGAAAATAAAAAGTCACAAGACAGCTTATGAAAAATTGTTTTATTTTAAGTTTACTAGGGCAGTTTTAACCAATATCTCAATAGTTTGCATTTTCAACTAGCAGTTTGGAGATCAACCAATGGCATTCAATTCTCAGAACTTCTAACAAAAAAAGAACATTCCCAAATCACCCAAGTCCTCCTGAAGTGTCACAGGCAGCACTTAGCATCTCATAGCATACCCAAATTTGCAGCTATCACCAACCACCTGTATCTTCACTGAAACAGGCTCTACTTCAGAAAATTTCTTTAAAAACGCTCAGTTGAATCACCTTTAATATATCTATAGTCTTTGTTTCACTCTCTCAAAAGACAGGAAAGTTCTATTTTGTAATGTTAGGTTTGTACAGTTTAAGAACTACATATATTTTACCTGCATCATTTCTACCCAAACCAGAAACAACGTCAACATTAACTTATCCTTATTAGTATTTCAGGGCAGTACACAAACTGACATATGACTTTTTCCCTCCTTTCTCAACTGAAATAATAAAATGCTTATGAAAATTTAAAAAAATACTTGGGAAAAGGAGTCATCATACTAGTTGTATAACAGCATAGGAATTATACATTCACATTAGATAGCAATTCCACAACTTAAGGAAAAAAAAAAAAAAACTGTATTCTCAAATAGAACAAAGAAAAAACCAAAATTACAAGTTCCTCCACAAACACATTTGACAAATTAATTTAAAAAATATTCTCACTCAGATGAGAACTTTCTTAATTTTCTCTTAAAGTTTTAAAGCAAATGTGAAAAAATGCTGATCATAGCAGAATTACTCGGTATAATTTTTAAATTAAATTTTTCGAAAAGATACCTCTTAAAACTATTTGCTGTTTGATTAATCAGCATTTATAAGAGACTGTTCTCATCAACATGTCTCCCTGTAAAGGCTTCTACTACCACAATTTGTTAAAAGATGTCACGAAGTTTTTTGAATCACAAGGAACAAAGAAGCTTTAACTTCTGTATCACAATACCTAGATTTTAAGAACAGCAAAGGTTTTACATGTAACCTAGATGCAGGATGCACGTTTAAGTTAGTGTAACAGTGACATCTTTGCGTGAAGTTGTAACCGCTGACTTCTGTGAACATTTCTATATTCACCTCTGCATACGGTTACAATGAAAAAATAAACATTAGGCATGGTTAGTTTCCTAGGACAATTGAATTCCCCACCATGCCCAAGCTACCCAGACTTTGAATTTTGAAATATCAATATGAAAAAAAAAAAAAAAAAAAAAGCAGCAAGGGAAGTTAGCAGTACACACAATGAACTTGGATTTATTACTTAGTTTCAAGTTGAGAAACTTTATCAAGTCATACAACAGCCAGCTACCGTCACACTATGCCAGCAATGGGAGCACAATAATTCAGACTTGTGAAAAATGTTTTTATCTTCTGAGGACGACAAAGCTGTAGAAACTTCATTCCTGCAACAATCTGCTGCATATTTAAGGCTTTCAGTAAGGTCTATAAAAATCCATTACATGAATAACCGTTCTGATTATTGATTAACCCAGCAGAATAGATGTCAATCAGTTCGCCTCCACATATGCACTTCCACCAAGCACCAGCGACAAGGCAAATAGCAGCGGCCCGACGTTTCTCTGCTACAGACAAGCACTCCCCAGACTCGGGGCACCAAACTTCAAGCTACCACGTGAAACCGCAAATACCCAAAATCTCATCGCGATCCACCGCTAAGGACCCTGCGTGCCAAAGGATTTTTTCACCGCCGTAACATGGGTAACTCTGTGATAAAGTTTAAAGCCCGGGCAAGCGCAGGCCCCGAGCGGCGGCCGTCACCTCCGCCCCGCGGAGGGGCCGGAGCGCGCCCGGCCCCGCCGAGCGGCGCCTCCCGCCCGGCGCATCCCGGCCCGGGCGCGGGGCCATGGCCCCCGCAGCGCAGGACACCGGCCCTGGGGAAAAGGCGACCTCGGCCGCCCTGGGAGAAAAAGAAAGAGGAAGGGAACGGAAATGAGACCCGCACGTACTGAGTACCACAAAGTTCCCCGCGGCAGCGTCCGGCCCCTCAGCTCCAGGCCGGCGACGGCCGCCGGCTTCCTCCTTCCAGAAGTACCTGGCGGAGCAGCCCTCGGGAATATCCCCACCACAAGCCCGGCCCCTCCGAAACCCAACCCCTTTCCAACACCCCCCTTTCCTCTCGCTCCGCTCCTTCCGACGGGGGTGGAGAGGACCTCCCCCAGCCCCTCTCTCTCCACCCCCGATGCTCCGGGGAAGAAGGAGCCGGGAAGTCCTGGGCACGGCACGGCACCGCCCCGCCCCGCCCCGCTGCAGGCGGCACCCGGTGAAACCCTGGGGGCGCTCCCCTCGGCCAGAAGACGCCGCCCGCCCTCAGCGCGGCCCCGGCGCGGCGGCGGAGCGCGACCCCCGAGCTCGGCCCGGCGGGCGGGCGGCAGCGCCCGCGGGCGGGGCCGCCCAGAGCGGAGCGCGGCGCAGGCGCACCGAGGGCCCGCGCCCCTCCCCGGCCTCTGCCGCCGCGGCGCCTGCGCAGTGCGGCGGTGCCGCCGCTGTGGGGCGCGGCTGGGCTGTGGCCCCGGAGCGCGGGAGCGTGGCGTGGATCGCTCAGCCTCGCTTAAACTGGAAAAGATTCCTGTGTCATCGAGTCCACCTTGTGACCGAACACCTCGTCAGCTAGACCATGGCACTACATCCAGTCCTTCGTTAAATACCTCCAAGGATGATGACCTACTACTTCCCTGGGCAGCCCTATTCCAAACTTTATTCTTCCCTCCTGTGAAAAAGTTCCTCCTAATGTCCTCCGCTGACACTTTTCCTCTTGTGGTGTTCCTGGCTGCCAGGAAGAAGAGAACGACCCTGACCTGGCCACACTCTCCTTTCAATGAGCTGTAGAGAGTAATGAGGTCTCCCCTGAGCCTTGTTTTCTCCAGGCTAAATATCCCTAGCTCCCTCAGCCACTCTTTGGAAGAGTTGTGCTCCAAACCTTTCCTCAGCTACGTTTGCCTTCCCTGGTTCTCTCCAGAGCCCCAGTGTCTTTGCTGCTCAGAACTGAAGGCAGGGCTTGAGCATGGTCTCACCAGTGCCAGTTCAGGGGGATGGTCACTGTCCTGGTCCTCTTGGCCCACTATTGCTGGTACAAGCCAAGACGACATTGTCCTTTTTGGCCAGCTGGGCACACTACTGCCTCATGTTCTATCATCTGTCAACCAGCACCCAGGTCCTTTCCTGCCAGTCAGCTTCCTATCCCCTCCTCCCCAGCCTGTAGCGCTGCAAGGTTCAGGGCAGCAGCCTCAGGTCAGGGACTTTGTTATCCTTTGAGGGCCCTAGTGTCCTCCTGTCCTTTGGGTCCCACAGAGCACTTGGGGCAGCCAGGACAGAGGGAGAAAGCCAGCCACTTCAGCAGGCACCACCAGATGAGATTCAGGTACCAGCCCTGACCTGGATGCTGGTTGTGCCATCCCTCCATATTGCGCTGCCTCAGCTCCGGCTGTTACACTGTTAAAAGGTGGTCAGCCCTGTCCATGTAAAAGCTGGACGTGTAGGTTTGTAAATTCACTGAGCCATATGTTAAGGAAACTTCCCTACTTGAGCAGGATGCACTCTGGCAGTCAGTCTTGCCCCACTGGCTGGGATCAGGCCCCTTCACAGCTACACCTCCTACTCACGCAGTAACACAGACTTCCACCCATCTCCACCCCAGGTTTCCCAGAGCAGAGTTTCAGACATCCATATCCCCTGGGTGCAATAGCTAAACAACAAAGTAACAGCTCAGGCTGGTGCCTCCAAGATCCATAGGCGGGACAGGGGATGGGTGTCTGGTCTCCTGACTGGAGAGTAGAGCGGGAATGGGTGATGCTGGGCAAGGTCTGGTGACATACTCGTGTGCAGCTGTGTACATCCTGCTCCCTAGAAGTGGGCACCCGAGGGCAAGTGGTGCTCTGGAGGTACCAGATAGTGGTATCTGTGTTTCTTGTAACTGCAAGGGATTTTGTTCCTCTGGTTATGTCCTGTGTAGGGTGGACTTCCCTGAGCTAACTCCTTTTCTGGGCTATGTTGTTAAAGAACAGTGTAGCCTTAATCAAATGGATTATAGTCACAGGACAATTCTTGGATGTCCTATGAGTCTGATAGACTTCACTCCTAAGAATACACGAGTATCTAGAAGTTTCCTTTTCTGTTCCCACATGAACTACAGGAACAAGACAGGTCATCATGATCAAAGAAGTACTTTGGGGAGTAGTTGTTTGAAAAAAAATTAATTTTAGTCTTAACATAATGGTCAAAAATAAATTTTAGACATAACAGCAGACTCAGAAATTATTATATTTCAATCAGTTATTATGAGAAAAGGAAGTAAGACTGTATCTATTTTAGATATGCTAATATGAGAACATACATATACACATATGAGAATATACTAATATATTCAATATTTCCAATGTATTGGAATATACTTTATATATGTTAGTAATTAAATTTTTATATGTATATAAATCTAAAAATTAAGGATTTTTGAGTCCTCTGAAAGAACTTTTCTTTAGAGGTCAGATTGTGAAAAATGACATACAGTTTCATCCCTTAGCACACATGTTTCTTGTTACAAGTTAAATATACAACGTAATTTAAAAATACTATAAGGGTTCTTCTGTAATGGCTCTGTACACTATAAAAATAGAAAGAAGTGTGTTTTGCCAGTAATCTAGACTTTGCTGTCATTGAAGAATGCTTTTAAATTAACTTTCAACTGCAATGCACAAAGCCAATAGAACTTTTGATAGATTGTTATAATAGAAAAAGAAAATAAATCCTTTGTGATAGGGCCTGTGAGCTGGTTGCTAACACAAGTAGGGAAAAACAGAAAGGAAGAAAACTTTAATCATTCCCTTCCTGGGAGGCAAGGAGTGAAGGGGAGAGAAAGATAAAGATAATGTGAAGGAAAACACTTCTAGGAAGCAAACTTGGGCTTTGGGAGTTCCATTCGTACTTCACCTGTCACACTTTTAGTGTTTTTTTGTTTGTTTTCAGTTTAGAGGTTTTGTTCATTTGTGGGTTTTTTTGTTTGTTTTTAATTGGTCCCCTTATTCTATTTATAATTTTTTGCTTGCTTCTCTGATTGGTTATGTCTGTTGCTTTTTCTCTTTTTCTCATTAATTTAAACTCTATTCTTCTTGAGCTATGTCAAATTCATGTTTCTTACAACTTTAGGGAAGTCTATGGAGTTGTGCTGACTATAAATTAGGTGTGTGTGATTGTATTGAATGGTTGTGTTGTTTCCAGCTGCCTCTTTTATATGGACATATAAACTGAATGATGGTCTCGTTTACTTTAAAGAGGTATATAGTGTAATTTAATTAGATAGAACTTCGAGGAAGAACAGATATCTTTATGCACAGATCCAATTATAGCATCAGGGCCTGGATGGACAATGTTTTGTCTGCTCAGCATACAAATACAAGTAGACAGACGCAATTAGTCAACCTGATCTCTTTTAAACAAGCTATGTTTATCTGGTTTTAGCAGCACCATATTTTGCTGAAAATTACGTGTCTTTGATGTTATTCTATCAAGTTTAAAGAAACTAACACTTACTGTATTTTTCTCTTATTGATACTTTTGTTGTCCATATTGCTCACACTTGCTTACACTACAAAAAACAAACCAAAACCACATTACCTGTTTCTGTGTTTTGAGTTGTAATTCCATGGTTTTGAGTGTTTATGACATAAATTAATATTTGGCAGCTAAAAGGTCTTCTAAGCTTCTCTCTATTCAATGAGGACCTATTATCCATTTGATGTAGCTCCTATTTATGCGAATGATTTGATACATTGTTGTTTTTCAGGTAACTCTTCTCCTAAAACTCCAGTTCTTTCTAATATATTATGTTTATGTAAACAGATATATTATATTGTTGAGAATAGTATACAGTACTACTTCTAATAGGAACGTCTTTGTTTAGTTTCCTGGGGGAAAAAAACAAACAAAAACACCACCAAAAAACTAAGAGATTTTTTAGCAGTGTAGTCATTGACTATGTCATTTGACTTACTCCAGCCTGACAACACAAGGCTTTCAGCTAGATACTGTAGCTCAAGAAATAACAGTCCTGATTAAACCTTGCAATTTTAATTCACCGCAATTTTACTTGCTTCTCAGCTGTTGTGGTGCAACTAAACTGCAAAGTAACTCCACAGACTGCATTTAAAAAGGTAACTTCCTCCACCTTTTTGGTTTTAGGATTAGTACAATAGTGTAGCAGAGCAGACATCTGTAAAGAGCAGCCAAGGACTTCCATGGTCCAGCCCCTCTCAGGTTTACCATGCACTGTACAGGCTGGCAGCTCCCGGTAGGGTATGGCTACACCACCAAACTGCTCATTGTGCTAAGAGTCAGAAACGCAAGCTGCATCTTTGACTCTGCTGATCACTTCTGGAGGGAAACGAAAGCTGATGCTTTCTCTAACTAGATCAGTTCCTTTAAGGGAACCACTCAAAGTGACAATTACATATTGTGACTTACCATTCTGGGTCTTCCACTAAGAGGTATGCTGCATTGCAGAAAACTGGGTGCAAATTTTAGCAGAATTTTACTGGCAGTGAAGAAAAAGGAGAAATTGTTTTGCTAAGGTACTAAAAGCTGTATTTATCAAAAAGCTGTAAGCATGTGTGGCTGTGGTTCAGCAGCAGCTATCTTTTTTTTCTTTTTTTTCTTTTTTTTTTTTTTTGTTTTGTTTTGTTTGGTTTGGTTTTCATTTTATGGGAGTGGTGGGACAGGGAGAGGGTTTGCTGTTTATATTTCCTGAGATAAACTTGGGAAATTTCTTTTCAGGTAAATGTGAGAATGTGTTAAAATATATGTGCTCTTGCCATAGTCATGCATTAAGATAGCATTAAAGAATTTAGCTGCACTGTTTCACTATAAATTCTGTAATAACCTCGCATGAGGAAAATGGTTTTTTTTAGTTAAGACTCACGTACTCACTCATTTAAAACCATGTTTTATCTCCTGATTTCAGTGTAGAATCATTGTAAGATCACAGTAAACCTAAATAGCATTTATTGGCAAATGTCAACAAATTAATATATGTCTGCCTCATGGAATGTACTAACTAAATTACCAGTGTGGGAAACAACATAGCTAACCTGTTAACTATAGCATGTTCAAATTAGTCCAGAGCTGGCAAGATCTTTGGATGCTTTAGAAGGTGGCAAAAGGTCAGGTGAAAACAACAACAGTCTTTGTCAGAGTTTGGGTTTCAAGAGAACTGTAATGGTGTGTAATATTTAAGAAGGGCAGAAATTGAAATATATTATGGTTGTGCTTGTTAATATAAAATTGTAGATTGTTGCTAGACCTTAAAGGAAAATGCTGATGCAAAATGTAGCAAATTTGGGATGTGAAATTATGCTCCAAAATTACTATTTGTGCA